CGGACTAGATGATCTTCTCAGGTCCCTTCCGACCCTAGAAACTATGAAACTATAAAATCAAGGAGAGCCAAATATTAAGGAGATGTTCTTTTAAAGAACTAAGGTAATTAGGAATAGGACTTTAGAAAGGAATCTCATAGAATAAAGACCAACCCACAAACAATAAACAGAAAAATCAAATTATCTGTAGAACAGGCATGATTAAAAGTATATAGATAACTTCACCATATTTAACTATATGCTTCAACACTACATATTTGTTACAAAAAAACCCAACCTGCTTTAATGTTACCCTGTGTGCCCAAAGACCATCTTCCTTTTCATTTAATAAAGATGCTTAGTTCACCCTGGCTACAAGGTGCTGACTATGCAGTCGTTACTGTGCAGTTGCACTGACAGATGGCATTTTTGTGATGTTGACTGCGCAGTAGCCCAAGACTAATGTGCAATAGCGCTGTGTCACACTTTCTGCCACACAAAGCCTGCGCAGTCAGTGTCTCATGTTGAAGTGGCCCAAGGGTGTACCTTATTTCTCTAGATTTATACCACAAACTTAGTAGTAATTACTGTGGGATAAATTGCAGAAACATGATAAATTGCATTAGTTGTGCACTTTTTGGATCACCTCAACTTCATTCTATTAATCCGATTCCCTTAGGACCACTCTGAAAATTGCAAACATCTCAGCAACTTTAAGACGGCTGCCATTTTCTTTTAAACTACAGCCACAATATATTTTTCCTCTCTCCTAAAATGTAGAAAATTCTTAGGCTACCTCAATTCATACTAAACAGTGAAACAAGGATTATTTATCCTTACCTACTGGCATGTTTAAGGTCCAATATTTTGTTCAGAAATCTGGATCAGAAACTGGTATTCTCTCTTAAAAATCCTTCCCTTTTCAATGGTACAAGGAAGGAGCCTGGAACCTACAACATGCAAAGCCGAGCTTGCAGATGTGGGACTTCAGTGGCAGGGAGAAAAGGCAGCTGGGTCCTAGAGCCTCCCACTCTCTCACCTAAGGTAAGTCATTCTGGCCCACAGCCTATAAGGGTTGTTGACCATTGGTATAAGGCATTTATTTCCATTCTTAATATTACACATTAACACTGACATTATGACATGCAATGTAAGAAATACAGCTCTAGTCCAAGATATTTTAAGTGACCAATTTAAAGTCCTGAGAAATAAACAATGAGGTCAAAATAATAAAAAATATACAAGAAAAAAGAGCGATGAATGAAATGGGGGAAGATACAGACCCTTATTGCACTATGAAAGGACCCACGGACCTCAACAAAGAATCAGACGGCCTTATTGACAAAAATATCCCTGCCTCAAATAGTCTGATACGGTCTCAGACTGGACACAAGAGGTAGGTGAAACAGAGAGAATGTATGGGTGGATGGGGAAGAAGTAATAACAAAAACAGCAGCCAGGTCTGCCTGGAAGGGAGGGATGGCAGCCCCTCTCAGATTTTTCCTCATTGGAGGAGGTAGAGGTGTGAAGCCTGGAAGGGATTGCCCGCCCCCAGTTCCCCAGCAAACCCCAGGGTTGGGGTCTGGGGCCAGGGAGGGAGTTTAAACCCCCTCCCCCATCTCAGTGCACTACCCTGGGCCAGGACATGGCCATGGTCCCTGGTCTCTACACAAGCAGGAAGCTGGGTGCAGGGGTGGTGGGGACAACAGCTTGGGAGGGACTGCCCCCCCCCCCCCCCCC